AGTTAATTTTTTAAATTTAAGCTTTATTTGCCAGTATAGGGAAGACACGAGTATATAGTAAGTTTAGGTACGGTTGGTATCTTAATTGGATTTGTGAGTTTCTTTGTTAGGAAGGTGTTGGTAATGTTTTCTAATAAGTGTTATGGATAGCAGTTGCGTTTCAGGATGTCATGTAAGAACGAAATTTCAGAGTGTAGATTAAGATATGTGGAGCACAGGATGTAAGCTCTGTTTAGTAAGCATGTAACAAGGTTTCGTTTATACGTAAACGGGTTAAAGCTATCAAAGTGTGTAAGAAGACCAGTGGACGTCTTTTTTTGGTAAATTGATGTGGAAAATCCATTAGCATTACGGTTAATGAGCATGTCTAAAAAAGGTAAATTATTATTATTTTCAATGTCACATGTAAATTTAATGGCAGGATGTTGTGAGTTAAGGTATTCTAAAAATTTTGAGCATTGGTCACTGTTATTCAAAAGAATAAAAGTGTCATCCACATACCTTCTGTACAGAACAGGCTTAAAGTTAACTGGACAGGTGTCAAGTCATTTCTGTTCGTAATGAGAGAGAAATGCATTAGCTAAAGTTGGACCTAGTGGGGAGCCCATCGCAACGCCATCTATTTGTTCATACAAGGTGTTGTTGAACAGGAAATGTGAATTTTTAGTGGTAAGATCCAACATGGTCTTAATTTGATTTTCAGAAAAGCCATTTAGAGGAATGTTATTACGCGAAAGCTCAGATATGCATATGTTAATAGTTTCATGTAAGGGAATATTTGTAAAGAGGGAGGTAACATCAACGCTTGCCATGAAGAGATTATCTGAGGGGGCAGTTGACTTAGTTCACGTTAAAAGTGGAAGGAATCCGGGATAGTATATTCATTAGTAGTGAGTGGCTGAAGTAAAGGTACAAGGAATTTAGCAAGTTTATAACTAGGTGTGCCTATAGTGGAAAAAATGGGTCGGAGGGGGAAACCTGTTTTATGAATTTTGGGAAGGCCATATAACATACCAAGACGGGAGCCAGTGGGATAAAGCGAAGAAGCAACATTTTCAGATATAATATTTTGTTCTTTAGTTCTCTTATGTATCTTTGGATTTTTTCCTCAAGTTGGATGCTAACAGATAAAGGGTCATTGTTTAAGATTTTTAATTTTGTAGAATCGTCCAGAATATCATGCGTTTTATTAAGGTAGTCATTTTTGTTCAGAATAACAATGGCATTGCCTTTATCAGGGCGTGTAACATGGGTGTTTTTATTTAGTGACAATTCTTTTAAGGCTAAGATTTCGTCAGGTGTTAGAGGGCAAGGTTCTCTTTTACTATTAAAATTATAAAATGTAGATAGAGCAAGATTTTTTAATTTAGTAATAAAAGAATTATGGGATTGATTAAGATTGCCTTTATCGTACATGGGAAGGTCTTTCAGATTTCTGTATACCAGTTCGAATGAATAAAGAAAATTAGCATACTTCAGTTTTCGCGGAGGAAGACAGAAATTAAGTCCTTTAGCTAGGGCGGATTTACATTGGTTACTTAGTGTAATATTAGTGACGTTCACAATCAAATTATCAGGATCAAAACTATCAGAAAAGTTGTTAGTCAATTTGCTCAGCTTCATATTTTGGACATGTTCAATTCGGGCGATTTTTCTGTCGTTGTGTTGGCTTAACTTGTTAAGTAGATGGGTGTAATATAATTTAACAACGGCGTTCCGAAGATTGGTTGTATCGACGTTAAACTTTTCAGTGAGTTGTCTCTTCTGACGGTGTTTCAGTCGAAGTTCTTGATCCAACAATTTCTTTTGACAAGTCCTATAAGTTGAAGTATTTTGTAGGTTTCTATTGGATAATTTAAAGTGGAGGAACTTAGGAATGACGTGTCGGAGCTTGCATTCAGTAAGGAAGCAAATATCGAGATTAACTTTCTTAATTTTAAAGGCACGATATACACGCAGGGTATCATTTCCATATCGTCGAATCAGGACATTAGCAATCGATGTGTTCGAAGGAAAATTTTGTTTATTATCACTCATCTCCAAGCTTGGTAGAAATATATTTCAGTGTTGGAAGAAATTCAATGACGCTAAAGGCTGATGAATGGGTTATGAAAATATTTTTTTTACTAGTACACTATAGATATTTGTTATGAAAATAATAATATAAAACTGGTAAGCCTGTATTCTTAATTTAGAGAATTTCTATGTAGGTTTAAAGTATATTTACACTGATATATTATGGAGGATAGAAAAGAAGAAATGAATACATCAACTGATTGTTTATTTGTCAAAAATTAATATATATTCAACAAAAAAACGTAATATATGTTTCTAACAATCAATAACAAAATTTATTTACGCTATTGCAAGAACATGTTTAATGATCTGACCTCATGGCATAATTAATTTTTAATTATATTACATATAAATCAAATGTAGATAGTATAATTATTTTTAATGACCTACGATATCATTGTCAAGTCTATAAAATTAGATTAGAAAAGAAAAAAGCTATGAACCGACTTATGCTCAAGAGCTTGAATAATTTCTTTATTACAAGCTATATGATGGAATTGAGATGCAATCTCTGTACTACATTGTGGAAGTATCCCTTAATTGTCAACAGTCAAGATGACTATTTTATTGAACAATGAATTATTTAAAGGTCATTACAACCTCTTGCTTTCTGAGCCATTGAGTGAATACTCTGATCTGAAATGGTGACTGATGTTTGATAAAAATAACTCCAACATGATGATTGCTAGATTTTTTATTAGTCTTCTTGGAAAATATGCTGAATCTACAATCAACGAAGGAGTCCAGATTTCTCTGAGTGTGTATTTGAGTACAGCTATAACAACATAAATTTCAATCTTAGCAAACAGACTTTTAGTTCAGAAGTCTTCATTCATCCGAATTTTACCAATGATTATTTGATTTTGAAGCCTGAAATAAAAATGAATTAAGTTCTACAGCCTCTAGATGACATTACTGTCTCTAACGAGTGAAGCTTCAGCAGGTAACTCGAACATGACTGAAGTGTCTCGTGTGATAACCAGAGGTGAGCTGTATAAACTAATAGAGTACTTGACAAAATGTAATTTCTGATTAAGAAGTTAGCACACAGGATCACACACAAAAGTTGTAATGGTTTTCAAACAAAGCCCAAAAAATAAAAATATAATAACGGCAAAAAGTGGTGGGAAATGGAGAAAATTATAATGTGACGTAATATATAGGAAATAACACCAATATAGAGAAATTAAAGCATGAATAATACTGTTACGTCTGTGTTCGTTTGTTAATTTTCCGTAGAAATTCTTTCCGAGGAACTGCAGCGATACAAGTCCTTTTTTTAAAAACAAAACTAGGTTCGTTCTTTCTCAATTCAACTTTGCAATGTACTTAATTTCCACAGTCACTTTAACTTAAACACACGCTATAATTCACAACGACTCACACACTTTACTTACGGTGCCTTCCGCCGGCTTGACTCGATTATCAGCGTCTATATCTTTAATCTCTCTATCTGCTACTCCGGTTCCCATTAATTCCCTCCCGCTTTGATTGTCGGGCTTATATATTAAAATACAGCAAGTCTGGCAAACACTCGAGCCTTCACGAACCTTCTAGATACACATTACGTGTTACCAGGGTGACGTGACTTCCGCTGTCGTAACAATACTAATAATATAAAGTAAGATTGATTATGAATTTACTTTTGAAAATATTTTCAGAGAGATGCGAAGGTCAACAATCCCGAAATAGAGATTGATGCCATTTGACGTTATAGTATTTAATAGTGTTATCTAGTCAGCTTCTTTAATTTCTCTGTTTCTGTTAGATGTAAAATTTGTCTCTATACCTTTCGGTTTAATGTCTTCAAGACAGTGTCCAGGCATGTTCAAGTGTTTTGCGACCCGAAGTTTATTGTTTGTTTTTGTTGTTGATTTGTGGTTATTAAAAGCTCCCGTATAGTTGTTTTGGTTTGAACTACTTATTGGAAGTAACGTTTTCGGCATTGGATTAGGTAACTAACGTTTTTTGTAGAACAGGTTATGGGTTTAGTGATATTGAAATGCTTTTGGTTGTCTTTATCGGAAAATTGGTCTTTTTCCAGCATGAACGTCCAGGTTTGTCATCGCTTGCTATTATTGCAAGGATGACTTACACCTGGTGTCGACTTAAAGTGGACTTTAGTGTGAACTATGTGTGAATGCAAAGTTATATTTTTCCTCAAAGAAACAACATGAACTCCTGTAAAAATGGATTTTAGACGATCATTAAGTTGAAGGAGGTAATTTTTTTTTAGTATTGTTACGACATCGGAAGTCACGTGACGCTGGTAATACATCATGAGATTCTCGAAGGATCTTGACTTTTCCTGGCAACTCGAGTCTTTTCTAGGCGCCCTCTTATTTTGCATATAAGCCCGGCAAATAAAGCAGAGAAATAATTGCAGACAGAGAGATATAGAGACAGATAATTAAGTCAAGGGAGCGGTAGTGACCGTAAGTAAATTGCGTGAATCGTTGTGAATTATAGCGTGTGTTTAATTTAAAGTGGCGGTAGAAATTCTGTGTATTGCAAAGTTGTATTGAGAAAGAATAAACTAGTTTTATTTAAGAAAGGACTTGTATTGCTGAAGTTCCTCGGGAAGAATGTATACCGGAAATTAACAAACGACCAGATACGCAACAAACTGGTGTCAGAAATGGGATCTAAAAAAAGAAAAGGAAGATGGAAACGAGAAGTGGCAAATCAAACTACAGCTTAGCAGATTTGATGGCAGCAATACAAGAACAGCAAAAGAAACAAGAAGAACGAGAAAAGAAACAAGAAGAGAGATTACAGCAGTTGTTGGAGGAAAAAGAAAAGAAACAAGAAGAGAGACAACAGCAGTGGCAAGAAAACCTGCAACAGCGGCAGCTCGAACAACAAATTAAACAAAAGAGATTACAGCAGTTGTTGGAGGAAAAAGAAAAGAAACAAGAAGAGAGACAACAGCAGTGGCAAGAAAACCTGCAACAGCGGCAGCTCGAACAACAGAATAAACAAAAGAGATTAAAACAGCTGTTGGAGGAAAAAGAAAAGAAACAAGAAGAACGAGAACATAAACAAGAAGAAAGACTACAGCAGTGGCAACTGGAACAAGCAAGGAAACAAGAAGTACAAATGGAAAACATAAGTAAATTTCAGAGCGAATTAAATGTATTAAAGTATGATTTATTGTCT